CTAAGTGATTCACATTTTGCCACTTTACTAGAGTGCAATTAGCTGAAGCAGAAAAAAATGCTCAATGTAAAGCAGCTCAGCTGAAATTGTTACTCAGCTCTTTAACAGGACCCAGTGAAAGTCTTGAGGTGTTGTCATGGGCGTAGGTGCAGGAAGCAACATTTTCATTTCTTTCCACACAAACATTTTTTCCCTCTTACATTCAGAGAAGCAGATTATGGGAAATCACTGGAACATGCTGCATTGTTTTCTGTCTGCTGGTTTTAGTATAGACCTATGAAATGATACTAAAAGTAAGCACAGTATTTGAGAGGGAATGTGGTCTTTATGGTCAAAGCAAGGAGCTGGCTTACGTTCCTGACTCTGCTACGGACTTACTGTGTCACCTAGACCAAGACTTTCTTCCATGCATTGGTTTTCATAGTTAAAGTATGAAGATAACAAGTTAAGACCTTTTTGGTTGACATCTATGTGAGTTAGAGGAATGTATTGGAGGAAAATCAGATGGATTGCACTGTTAGCGTAAAAAGTACCTAGGTGTGCATAATAATACCTGCTTTGCTGATGTTCCCACATAGTAGCTGTCATTAAAAATGTCAGCTGGTAACAACCTATTCTGACATTTATGGAAATAGGGTAATTTCCTCTTCAAGAAAAGAAAAACTTCATATGCAGGTAAAAGTGGACTTTTGTGTTGGTCTATAGTGAAGGTACTCACTAATTATTGTGACTAATTATTACTCTCACTAATAGAGAGAGATGTCAGCTCAACTCTGACATAGCAAATGATGCTGTAAGCAGAGCTTTTCCTGCTTGAAAAGCAAGCATAGAATGTGTTTACAAATTACAAAGTATTGACATGTTATTTTGAACTCCTTTAGGTATTGGTAATGAGGGAGATGAGGGAAAAGTAACTTTCTGAACCATTTGGGTGGATATAAAGAGCTCCCAGTGGCTTGAATGGGGGAAGGCTTTCTTTTTTAAGGCTATATACTGTAATCAGATGCAGTTAATTTTTGCACTCTACTTGTATATTGGTACTGATTTAGCCAGTGTCAGCACTGTCAATATCATTAGTAATGTGGCAGGTAGATGGAAATATGAATGTGATTGCATTAATAAATTCTTAATATATTCAACCTTTCATAAGCACATGGCATCACAATTTATTTGCTATTGTTTAAGACCATTTTAAAGCAGGAGTTGCATTTTGAAGTGCTCTGTCATTGTGCCTTTCTGCCAGCAGTGACTGGCTTTGGGTCTTACTTAAACAAAGAAGTTATAAAGTAAATTTGTTAGAAATGTGAAGAGTCATGCTATATATCGCATGTTACTGGAGGCTTGCAGCACCTTGCAGCACCCTACATAGTTTCTCTTGTATATGGGCATGGAAATGCTTCTAGAGCCAATTAGTTGCTTTGCATATAGTTACTGAAAGGAAGATTTACTTGAGAGCTACCAGTTATTAGAAAACTTACCTGAAAACAGCTTACCACAAATGGAGCTGCCATTTATTTGACTTAAAATCTAGTAAAGAAAAAAAACAACCCCACCAAGGCTTTAAAATAAATACTGTACATTTTTATATGACACATGTTATTTCTATTCATAAACCTTAACTAAATTTAGATTTTTATTAATCCAATGTGACCTAAAAATTTTGCATTAACAGCACAATGTGGAATTGGGCTTATTCTCTTTGAATGCAGATAAAGCCATCATCTTGAAAATAGCTCTTTCTGACGAAAAGGTGTTCTTTTGAAATAAAGTCTTATTCACTACATTCCTCTTAGAGTTAATGTGAATTTTAGTGCCTCTAATTTTAGATTGAAGTAAGGTCTAGAATAAAACCCACCGGCTGACAATTGAATTTATAGATAGTTGTGAATATTTCAGGCTTGAATAATAGAGCTGTAGAATTTCAGACACAGAGAGGAAGAGAGAATTAAGCTCCAACTGTACTTTTAGACTATAATGCAATGGTGTCTAGGAATTCTTCAGTGTAACGAGCTAAGTAGTAATTAGGAGGGAACTGAGGGAGGGATTTTACAGAGATCTAGCTTAGGCATTATTCCAAACGATCAGCGTGATAATTTGATGGTGGTCCCACCTGCCATCCATATAAGATTGTGCTTGAATTACTTTCGCTGAGATGTGCTACAGTAACGAAAGAGTGAAAGCAGTAGGTGTCTGTTGCCAGCCCCCAGCGAGCACCCAGCCTTGCCTCTGGTTCACCTTCTTCAGGGGATTGACAAATTTTTCTCTCAGTCAGGTGCTGTTGTTTTTGCTTTTCCTTGGAATAGTTAATGTTTTAACTGCATTTCTGCTTCGCTAGCATGCACCAGTCCAGTCTGTACTGTTTAAGCTGTAGCCAAAAGCAGCTCTATCTTGGTTAGTACCAGAAACTGCTACTTCAGAAGCGTCAGCAGACTGGCTTTAGCCTAAGCCACACTGGTGATCAGATTTTAACACTGGTAGAACTGAAATGATGTTGTGGTTCTGACCGCTTGGAGTGGGAGATAGCCTCTTTTGCACTGGCTAAGATGACATGAATTTAGACAACTAATTAATTGCAAATGTTTTTTCTGGAAAGGGAAGGGTGACATTCGAGCTCATTATTGCACAAATTAGAAAAAAAAAAAAGACAGTGGGAGTCTTGGACAAGAACGTGCCATTAAACTGGTTATGACAGACTGTAGGCAGTGACTTCTTTTGCTGTGTTTTGAGACTTTCTATGTGGAGTCTCAGCAGCAGGGAGGTGAAAAGAAGACCAAGTACCTGTTTAGTCAATAAAAGGACCTTAGTGTTAGTGTGTAGAAAAATAATGTAAAAAATAAGTTGGTAGAATGTGCAAGTTAATTGATGTTTTTAATCGTAGCTGTATAAAATTCAGTGTCAAAGAAAGAGGAGAGAGAGACAGAGAGACACCATGTTTTAGTACCCTAATAACTTCTAACTCTAGTCTAAGATCATAATGTATGTGAGAGCAGTCCAGTAATTATAAGGTAATAAGTGGAGTGGTGGTGTAAGTGCTCTAAATTAAAAGGAATTCGCAGAGCTGCTGTAAGTCAGTGCCGACCCGCTTTCTTTCAAACGTTGACTTGTGAAAAGTGCTTAGCCCAGAGTGCAAGTAGAGAGACAAGAGAGAGCTATCTATTAATTACAGCACTCATTAACAGTGACGGCTACAAGGCAGCAGATGCAGAAGAAAAGGCACACGCTACTGCAGGCTGGCAAGGGGATTTCCCCCCCTCCAGTTCTTGAGGAAAGGACAACACAAGCAGGTGGTCTAATGTAATAAGATATTTTCACGGCTTTAACCTTCCCATTTCCTTGGTTTATTTGCTGACACCAGATAGCTTGCTCCTTCCACCTTCCCAAATAAGTACTGATTTAAGTTTGGAGGGTAACATTTCTGCACATCAATCTGGCTGTTTTCCAAATTCACTTGTTTTCAGTAGCATTTTACAGAAAAACTCACAACAATTGAGACATCCTAAGTAACATCTATGGGCACTGATTTTAGGGTAAATCTTAGCCTAAGCAGATACCTTTAATGAAGGGTCAGGCTTTGGTCTCAGTTACCCTTATTGGAAGGGAAGCCGGCTCTCTGGATTTGTGTCTGTTTTCCACTGGTGAATTTGATTCCAGATCTTGAAGTAGAAATTAATCTTTTTTTTTTAAAAACATGACAAGGTGGAAAAAAATTACAAGATCTCAAAAATGGCTTTAGATAGTTGTCAGTCAGATTGTCTGGACTCATGCGTTTGCTTTGAAAACATAAATCTGTAGCTCCAGGTTGGTGGCCTTATGGGGTAGTTGCTTTTCTGCTGATAATGTTTCTCGAGAAATGCTAATAACTGTCATCTGTACTTTGGCAGCTTCTGAGAGTACTGTCTGGAAAATGCTGGGTAGGCCATTTGCCACTGTGGTCTCATAATCGCCGCTGTAGAAAATGAAGATAGTATCTGATTCAGAGCTTTCTAATTATTGTTTTTTTCCCTTGTTCTCTCTAAAATATATTTTAAAATAATGAAAAAATGGGGGATGGAATAGACAAAGATTTTTTTTTTTCCCCTGTAGAAAACACTAATTTGTCAGATCAAATGTTATATGGTTTTATTTCAGATGCTTAATTCTGAATATGTGAGAACTGAGAAGTAAGACAGACTCTCACCTTCTGAAAGACAAAACTTCTATCTAAAATATCCTCTAATACTTTTTTTTTTTTATCCACGAATGGAACACGTAAAATGTCAGATCCTGTAGAACTGCAGATATATGGGATAGTAGCGTAGTTATTACTGGTTAGTCTGAGGATAATGGCTATAAAGTAATTGCAGCCAGAGCTGATGAATCATTTCACTTAGATTTTGTGAAAATGGAGTCCAGCCTTAATTATTTGTTAGAGTTCCCAGTTCATGTGCTACTCTGTTACTAAATAGCTGTATCTGTAATAAAGCAATATTAATAAAGAAAAAAAAAGACTGTGGGAGACTTGCTCTTCACTTCTTGGGCAGATCAATAGATGATGGATATGTGTTTTAGTCAAGTGTCTTTACAAATATTAATCACAGACCTGAACAGTTATGTGATCAAACATGGAAAGATTTGTTCCTGATAATGATGGATTTTACAGAAAGAAAGTACCGATGGAAAAAGGAAGACATTTAATAGCCAACTCATATAATAGGATTTTTTAATTTTTTTGACTCACTAGATGACAAGCTCAGAATTCAGAGTTGATGTGAAGTTGACACATAGCCTAGAGGGCAGGTGGAGGGGACAACAGGCAGACTTGGTTTCTCTAAAGTTTTTGTTTACTGCCTGTCTGGAGCTTTGACAAAGCTCTGTCATGCCCTCATGCTGATTACCTTCATGTAGAACAAGAGGTATCGACTAATGAATGAGTGATGTGCAGTCCCTAACCCTTCCAGAGCAGCCTTAAAGAGCGCCGTCTTTAATACACAGATTCTTCTTGCTCTCTCTCCCCGCTACAGGCTTCTCTGCAGAATGTCAAGCAAAGATCGACACATTGATTCTAGCTGTTCGTCGTACATCAAGACGGAACCGTCCAGCCCTGCCTCTCTGACGGACAGCATCAACCACCACAGCCCTGGTGGCTCCTCAGACGCCAGCGGGAGCTACAGTTCCACCATGAATGGACATCAGAACGGGCTGGACTCACCTCCCCTCTACCCTTCGGCCACAGGGCTTGGGGGCAACGGGCCGGTCAGGAAACGGTATGACGACTGCTCCAGTACCATCGCTGAAGATTCACAGACCAAGTGTGAATATATGCTGAACTCGATGCCCAAAAGACTGTGTTTGGTGTGTGGTGACATTGCATCAGGGTACCACTATGGAGTGGCTTCCTGTGAGGCCTGCAAGGCTTTTTTCAAGAGGACAATTCAAGGTTGGTTATTCTTTAAACTTCCTTTCTTTCTTTTGCTCAGAGTGAAATAGTACAGTCCATGACTGAATCTTGTTAGGGTTTCAGGCTGTACCATTTCATTCTTCATAGCGTTTGGTCCTACAGAGGTGACTCGTGAAAAAAACTCTTTGGACTTTTTTGAGAGTTCTGTGTGTCATGTTAAGCCCACTGCCACGTTTATTTTGATTATAAAAAAATAGAAAAACACTGGAGCCATCCAGTGCACATTCAGATTTGTTTTCTGTATGAATTGCTCATGGATTTCCATAAATGATTGTTGTGAAGAAAACTGATTATTTTCTGAAGGTTGTCATGGGTGCCTCTTGAACACACCTTGTGGCTGGCATACAGGGGTCGTGCTTCAGTTTTACTCCTAGTCACACCACTACAATACTTAAATTGTTACAGAAATCCAGTTTATTTTTGTCAAAGCACCAGTGTATTTAAAATAAATTGCAGTGGTATAGTGCTTTGTGCAGATTAGCATATTAATAAATGGTCTTTCGCCCATATGATATACAGTGGCCTTAAACAGGATCAAAAAATATCTGTAAGATCACATTCTAAGGAGAGTAAGTTGACAGCTTTTGGTCTCTGCCCAGTACATTGTACTAATCTGCTCTTGATACCTGTTACAAATACGCCACATATTTTGGCATAAATTAGTACAAATGGGATAATTTGCATGACCACTTGTTCTAGCTTTGGAACCAATGGAGACAAAATAACCTTCTACTTTGATTTAGATATCATCCTATCAAGTAAAATTGAAGGTGCTTTATTTAAAGAACATGAGGCCAACTTGGCCTGTACAGGAGTATAGTGTCACATTAAATTAGATTCAAACTTCAGAGACTAATATTAGGTTGCTACGTCCAAATTTAAGCTCTTCAGTAAAACCTGCTTGATTGTCATAGATGTTGAGCACCTGGAATTCTCAGAAAAGACGATGGAATCTGGTGGTATACTTTTGTTTTCAAAAATGAGTTATGATAAGGAACATAAAGTTAGTTTAAGTTTGTAAGTGTGTCAGGAGGATGGGGCCAAGCTCTTTTCAGTGGTGCCCAGTGACAGGACAAGGGGTAATGGGCACAAACTGAGGCACAGGAAGTTCCGTCTGAACATGAGGAGGAACTTCTTCTCTCTGAGGGTGACGGAGCACTGGAACAGGCTGCCCAGGGAGGTTGTGGAGTCTCCTTCTCTGGAGATATTCAAGACCCGCCTGGACAAGGTCCTGTGCAGCCTGCTGTAGGTGACCCTGCTTCGGCGGGGGGGTTGGACTAGATGACCCACAGAGGTCCCTTCCAACCCCTACTATTCTGTGATTCTGTGATTCTGTGATAGTACTTCGGTATTTGATGTGAGATTAATAAGGAAAAATTATGAATGATATTTTAATTTATCCATTGCTGAAGCAATGACCATTTTATTCTCCTCTTACCTGCTTGCCAGCAGTATGAAGTACCCATTTTATGATGTCCATATAGCCACTAAAAAAAACATTAAACTTCAGTTGTTCTAATGGAGCTGAGTGTCACTGTTTCCAACCAGTAAACAAACATACCTGTGAAGATTCCTGGTAGTTTGGGTTCACATGTAAAACGAGTGCATATGCAGCAACAGTATTCTGATTTCAAGTCTTTGTTTTGGAAAAAGTAAAAAAAAAAAAAAAAAAAAGGTAAGTGGTTTCACCTGACCTTCAAGAAGATTTTCAGAAAAGCTCAAAAAATATTTCCACTGAAGCAATTTGTATTTTGTGGTTGCTAAACCTCAAGCACAAACTTCTGTTAAACTAGCAACTCTGTTTTTATAAATCGTGTAATTGCGATGTAATAGCTGTCCTACAGGACTGAATTGATGCACAATTATTTTAGTTTTATTTTGAGCATGATAAAATGCCACAGAAACGTTAACTGATTAAAGTGTTGACTTCAGGCAGTAATAGGTAGCCTGCTATTTTACACCACATCACAGACAGAAAGTTTCTGGGCATGGAAGCACAAGACAGGGACGTCATTCTCCAGATTAGCAACCTGGACTTGGCCACGCAGCTCAAGTTAGAACTGGCAGCTGTGCAAAAAGTCTCACTATGGTTAGAGCACTAGCTACATCAGCAGGTGACAGTGCTGTGAAGACAAAAAAAAATTATGCAGTAACGCAAAACCAAGCATCGAATGGAAAAGCAATAATGAAGAAACTAAGAATAGGAAGTACGTTACCATCGTAATGTCACGGCAGCATCTTCAGTAACAGTGCTGACTAAAGTGACACAACTACTAAGAGTTTTCAGATACCATCCAAAATAAGCTACTTGCTTTGGTGAATCAAACCCTGGGTTGTGGAGGGTGACAAGAAGTATATAAGAAAAAGGTACTACTCATGTTTTGAATGGGCAAATTCTACCTTTAAGCTTGTGTGAAGAATAATTCCCCTGAGGGTTTTTTTGTTCTAAATGATAGAATTTAGTCCCAGTGTTCCTAGAGGTTGTTCTTCTCTGTACCATTTCAGTTCCTGGTTCATATCACATTCTTTCTCTGCTTGTTTTTAAAATAAGTTGATTTCTGCATAACTGCAAATAAGAAAACATGAAAACAGAAAAAAAAACCCAAGAAATTTATAAATACAGAATAGTTAACCAGACTTCCTGAAGAATCAAGTATTGTAACTGTACATATGTAAGGATAACCTGTCTTGGCTCAAATAATTGCTTATTTTAAATGCTAATAATTTAATTGTGATGTGTACTTATAGATTCAGTGAAAAAGAACATTTGACTTCCCAAACGTTTCTTGTTTATCATTCATCAGTTACTAAATTGGCTCAGACTTGTAGAACATAAGTGCTGTTCGTGGTTGAAGTCACGGGTAAAACTGCCCTGACTTCAGTGGGAGCAAGGCTGAGCTGATAAAGTTAGATTGTGAAGCACATCTTGTGTTCATGTCAGGCCTGATGTCCTTTCCACTAAGTCAATGGGAGTCTTTCCATTCTTTCCATTTCAGAGGAGTCTTTTGAAATCTCAGTAGGTGAAAGCCAGGGGCAGCTGTTCAGCAAGCCTGCGCAGTATCTGTACACCACCAGCATCTTCCATAAGGCAGGAGGGAAGTGCATCAGAGGATGCCTAGTAGCTCCTTACATGAGGCAAATTTCGCTCTAATGCAAAGTATGCACCTGTTTTTAAGGGTGATGGAGATTGTAATTACCTTTGAGAATGACAGCCAATTTAGTCTAAAAACTGTCCATTCTTGACTTGCGGATTTCTCCTCTTTTTCCTGCCTCTTGCAATCCCTGCTGATTTTCTTAAAAGTTAAGAAATTAAATGAACTCTGTCTTGAATTATAAGAAGGAGTAATTTTGCCTTTTTTAATACGTATTTTTAACATAGCACAGACATACATTTGGAGCTGTGGTAAAGACTGCATATAGATTATGACAAAAATCAATAATATTAGAAAAAATTTAAAACATGAAATTACCTGGCTAAAAAATAACAAATCAAAACCCACCAAAAACACAGCTCAATAGATGAAATTGGTGTCTTCTTAGGTCGTAGTAGAATCTAATGACGTTGTGACCCCTTTTGTGACGTATAAGGGATGGGAGAACTGGATGTTCTCTCTGCTCAGCCTAGTACTTACTCAGCTGCAGTTCTCAGTTTGCTGCTGGGATAATGTATTTGGTGGCTGATTGCAAACATCTCACAAACACACGCACAGCCAGATCTCCCCAAAACTGGCTTAACATCAGGGATAGTAGAATATAGCAACATCTAAAAATAGTTACAGGTCCATTGATTTTTAGGGTCTCTCCACAGTTTTTGCTGTGCACTGTATTACTTTCAAAAATCCAAGCTTTCGTTAAAAGAAAGAGAGGAAAAAAGGATATTCACTGGTCAGCTGGGTGCAAAGTCCTGTGTTCAGCACAGAGGTCTGGTAATTACTAGATATTTTGTAGTGAATGTTTAGTGTAAATACATTTCTCATAATTTTTATTTGCTCAGTTATCATAAAGACTAGTAAGTACACATTTTGCATTAATAATATGTAATTACTCAGTGCCTGTAACTTAAACATTTCTGCAAGTGGATTGAAATGGTATTCTTGCTTTCAGCAGAAGGATCATAGGATTTACAGATTCAAATACAGTTTACTGTTTTGTTTTATTTTAGCCTTCATCTCTCTAAAATAATGCCCTACATCTAGACAACTTTCTTCCTCCTTCCAAATCTTCAGGACTGTAGTCTTTGGACTTTCTAAACTGGCATGAAAAGCCTAGGTATTGATATGTTGCCGTCTTGGTAAGGCTTGTCGCAAATGTGTTCAGGTTTTTCAGCTCTCTGTAGAGTGTTTACCCATTATTGAGCCAGTTTGATCTGTAAATGTGCAAACACTTTACAGTAAATATATATACATATATTTTAATCAGGAGAAGTTTTAATCAGGAAAGTTAGAACCAGCTATGTAAATTCAGATAAGGTGACATTTTAAATGGGCAACATAAAGTTTGATTCGAAGTTGCACATGATCAAAGTGGCTTCCAAAGGTTAATTTGCATCTCTCAAAGCTGACTCCTGTAATACTGTACATCGTCTTTGTGGAGGAAATGAAAGCAAATTAAGTAGTATTTTATGGCTTTTCAGCATCTTTACTGGTATCTAAGATTATAGTTTTTTATGGAAAGATAGGGTGGAGGCTTGCATCTTGGTGCAATAGTCTATGGACCTTGGCTCTGGTGGCTTTGCTCTGGCAGCCCTCCAGTGAGCCTGTCACTAAATGTCACCTGAATCCATCATTACCTGATTAAATCATTCACCTTCCTTGTATAAGTGAAAGTCCGTGCATCAGCATTTCTTTCAAAGAATATTTTAAGCAATGATAGATATCTTCCCTTTTCCCCTATTTTCTTTGTGCCTGTGGCCAACCAAACTGTGAAGAAATGTTTTTAATTCCTTCTGACACATTGTTTAATCCTGTGATAATGTCATT